TATATATATATATATATATATATATATATATATATATATATATATATATATATATATATATATATATATATATATATATATATATATATATATCATGTTGGGATTTAAACATGCTGGAACATTTTATATATGACAACGGTTTGTTTAATAATCATGATAATATATCGTGCACTCTCAGATTTTCCACAACGGTCATAAGACCGCGATTGTAACTATTGCATATACAACCACACCCTACGTGACAACGGCAACTCACACGTAATGTAATCCATTTTTCAACTATTGTTGTATATATATATTCTTTAATATATATATATATATATATATATATATATATATATATATATATATATATATATATATACACCTTTCAACAAGACTTCATAAATATATATATATATATATATATATATATATATATATATATATATATATATATATATATATATATATATATATATATATATATATATATATATATATATATATATATATATATATATATATATATATATATATATATATATATATATATATATATATATATATATATATATATATATATATATATATATATATATATATATATATATATATATATATATATATACCTTTCAACAAGACTTCATAAATATATATATATATATATATATATATATATATATATATATATATATATATATATATATATATATATATATATATATATATATATATATATATATATATATATATATATATATATATATATATATATATATATATATATATATATATATATATATATATATATATATATATATATATATATATATATATATATATATATATATATATATATATATATACCTTTCAATAAGACTTCATAAATATATATACACCTTCCAATAAGACTGCATAAGTAAAATAAATTATTTAAAATTTTCAATGTGAAATAGAATTTTAAATAGTTTTAAAGATAAAATAGACTTTTAAAAAGGTTAGAACATAATTTTTTGTTTTTAAAATAAAACATATGTCAGGCTTTTAAATTTATCAAATGTCAGACTCAAGTTTGTCATGATCTATTTTCACTCCTACTGCAAAGTCACCAACAATTTTATTTTGTTTTTATTTTATATTTTATGGAGATTCATTTTAGTATGAATTAATTTTGTAAAGACCAAAAAATTAAGATATTGAAATCCGAGCTATTTAATCTCAATTTTGTGAATGCTGAAATTTTTTAAATGTAACCAAAATCAGAATTCCTTTTAACATCCTTGTACGTAATGAAAATAAACAGGGACACAAATAAAGAGTTAACGTACGACGGTTAGAATATATAAATGATAGACTAATTATATTATTTAGTGATATCATTGAACGTCATTGTTACCGTTTTCAAATCCACCCACCAATCTTGCTTCCAAAATGCAACGAATTAATTAATTAAAAGTTACATAATACTCATATTGTGTGATACACAAATATAATATTAAATATTGCAATAGGAAAAAGGTGAAATTGGAGACAATGCAACGGAAATGATACGTAATGAGGTTGAAAATTGGACAAAGATGTCTAGTGTTCAATCTTGAAATTCACAAAGATAAGGGATAAATGAATAGTGTTACATTGGGAAATAATTGGTTCTGGTTTAAGATTAGGTTCAACCTAATGATACATAGATAGGTCACACAAATTGCTTAACACACTCATCGAATCATACATGAACTATATAATAATTTAGCTCTAACACTCCCTCACAAGTTTAGGGGGCTTACAAGTTATAACCTTGAGTTTCGTCTTAAGTTCTTGAAACATAAAAATATCGAGCAGTTTAGTCAATAAGCAGTGCTTTCAATATGTTGGAAAAACAATTTTATGGTATCACGAGCTTAGCAGTTTGAATTATTTATCATTTATATATTGTGCACCAAATCCAAAAAATATTGAGCGCAAGGGGGTGTATTAAAAAAATCAAATCTCATATATCGATAATTTGGGTCATTCACCGTTTATATCCACGCACCAAACTCAATAGTGCTTGGCGTGAAGGGTGTATTAGAAAAAACTCAAACTCCACATTGGTTAAAGATAGTGTCCACAAAGGGTTTATATAGAGTGATATCCCTCACCTTACAACCCGTTTTTGTATGGATGAATTGGGCCAAACGTTAATTCTATCAATATATGAAGTGAATATCATGTTTGATGTGCTTAATGCAAACCCGAAGTATCGAATTATGAGACAGAAGTATTACACTTAAATTTTCACAAAGAAATGTTGGTGAAAAGAAATGGATACATAACTTTGTTATAAAGATTCTAGCCACAATAATTCAGAGGTGGTGTGACCTAAGGCTCGATATTCTGCTTCTACACTGAACCTAACAACATGTTTCTTTTTAGAGCTCAATGAGACAAGGTTTGGTCCAAAAGAAATTCATGAACCAAAAGTGAATCTTTGATCATATGGACCACTAATCCAGTCAGAATCATTATAAGCTCCTAAAAAAATTGTAAGTTATGGGAGAAGAAGATAGAAGCAAGCCATGAGATAAAAGTCCACTAAGATACATCATTCTTTTCACAGCGGAACAATTAGAGTCAATGAAGGAGGACATAAATTGGCATGTTGTGTTTACATTTAAGGGTATGTCTAGCCTAAACAAGGTGACATATTTAAGAATACCTACCATGAATTTATATTGATAAGGATATGAAAATGAACTAAAACAATGTTTAATTCACTTGCAGTTGCTTAACATAGGTGTAGGAACTTCATTTGTAGCACACATATTTGTATAAGTCAATAGATCCTTTATGTAGTTGGACTAAGTAGAAGAATGAATCCATTTGACGTGGACTTTATCTCGATTTCCATGAAATATGCAAGCCTTCCTAATTTCTTGATAGAAAATGTAACATTCGGGTTATTGATTATCTTATGGACTAAATTCGAAGATGAATTAGTGATGAGTATGTCATCAACATACACAAGTGCATACCGTGTCACACCTTGATATGAGTATACAAACGAAGAATGATCACATTTCCTGTGTGAAAATTCAAATTGAAAGAGAGCTTGAGGTAGTTTTTCATACCATGCACTTAGGGCTTGTTTAAGTCCATAGAAGGATTTAATTCAACTTTCACATAAGTATTTTGTTTTTATGAGTAAATTCGGGTGGCTGAGACATGTATACTTCCTCTTGTAAAGTATCATTAAGAAAGACACTGTTGATATCCTCCTACTAGAGTTCCCATTTGTATGTGAGAGCCAGAGTGAGAATAACTCGAATTGTGGTTGGTTTAACCACTTGAGAGAATGTTCCATTAAAGTCAAGTTCACACGAGCAAGAAGAAGAAGAAGAAGAAGAAGAAGTGATGACTACACAAATAATTTGTTTACTTGAATCGATCAAAAACTGTCTAATTTAAGAGATATGAAAATTTTCCAATTCACTATACTTCGAGAATTATTACAAGAGATTACAATTGAGTTATAAGTAAAAAGTCCTTCGATTTTTCAAGAACATTTCATGCTTTCTATCTTAAATATTTATCCATCTCTCCAATTCATTATATATGAATCACACAAATCCAAAGTGTTTAGAAGTATTTTTGAGTCCCTATAGATACCTCCAAAGATCTTTCAATTCTTAGCCTTCAACCTAATCAATTCTTGAACATTGATCTAAGCATTTTCATCTACTTGCGCCTAGCCACGATTTTCCGCTTAGGTAATATACCAAGCCCACAAATATGGTTCTTCATTAGTGAATGTCTTTTATCATTCATCGCCTTCAAACTAAGTCTTCTCTATAGTTTATAATTCTTCATCTCCAAGTCTATACTTTTCCCCCTTACGAGTCTCACTAAAAGTAGCATTACTTTTTAATAATTAACCTTAATCCTCTAGATTCTATATTCTATAACTTGTAACCCTACTTACCTTTGGATAGCTAATGAAGACACATTCAATAGCCTTACTATCAATATGGACTAACTTGAATTGCACAAACAACAAAACTTTGAATACTTTCAAATTAGAGTAGTGTATTTGTTTCCGACTCCATAGCTCCATAGATGTCTTGAAGTTTTTTCTTATGAATAGACATCTTCCCATCAGATAAGTTGTTTTGGCAGAAACCTTATTCTAGAAACTCTTTGGCAATCTAACTCCTAGCAATATGTCTGAAACGGGTCTGAAGTATTTAGAAATGTTTCTCAATCATTTTATATACCTCTAAAAGTCTTTCAATTCTTAATTTTCAACTCTGAGAATCTCTCTTTACTTTTATACGTTTCTTTCACTATGATTTCCTCATTTTCTCTCAGAGGTCTCTCATAGGTCACTTGTTTGCCATTCGTACTATGAAAACGTCTAAAATCACCTTTCAAAATCGTCAGAAACGACATAATTTGCACTCCATTTTACAAGAACACATTACGTGTATGTCAAACACAATACGTTTTCGCGAATTCTTCGAACTTGATTTTGAAGCCAAACACTACACACTTTATAAAAGCTTGCACAGTTCATTCAGGTCACTAATTAACTCATTCAAAACTTAATTATCATACTACTTAAACCTTCATTTGAAATCAAATTTGTCACACTTCATCTTTAACCAAAATTCATGGTGCACGCATATGCCATGTAGTATAAAACTTTTACCAGACCAATATGACATAGTGAACAGTGTATTGTGTACATAGCAAAAACAAAAGGAAATTTGCGTGGCATAAAGAACGGAAGGAAGGGGGGTGACCCTTGCATTGCAGGGTGACCCATTTCTCTTGTAGGGTCCTTCTTCAACTTTTCTAAAGTGTTTTATGACTCATTGAAAACTGACCCAAAAAATTAAATTAAATCTAAAATAAAAAAATAATAATGATGCATATATAGCAGATCAATTTCCTCACTTGCATTGCATGCCTCCTTAATATCTTCTTCTTCTTCTTTTCTCTCTTTCCAATTTCCACAAATTTTCTACAAAACTTTACCAACAATGAGAGTTTCACCACAAAATTCAGAAACCGAGAGCACCTCAAATTCATCACCATCTACAACAACCTCAATTCAAGACCAAGGTTCCAACAGCAACAACCTTAAACGCAACCGCGACTCCAACAAACACCCCGTCTACCGAGGCGTTCGCATGAGAAATTGGGGAAAATGGGTGTCCGAAATCCGCGAGCCTCGCAAGAAATCGCGGATTTGGCTAGGCACTTTCCCCACAGCCGAAATGGCCGCCAGAGCACACGACGCTGCAGCTATATGCGTTAAAGGAAAATCCGCCATTCTCAATTTCCCCCACCTTGCAGACCTTCTCCCAAAACCCGCTTCTTTAGCCCCGCGCGACGTTCAGGCCGCGGCGGCTAAAGCAGCCCAAATGACCAACAGTTTGGAACCACAATCATCATCTTCCTCACTCTCATCATCGGCATCGTCGTCTTCAACGACAACGATGTCATTGTCGACAAGTCTGTCAATGAAGACAAATACATCATTGTCTTCGTCAACAGACTTATCGACAACATCTGACGAACTCAGCGAGATAATCGAGCTACCTACTTTGAAAAACAGTTATGATGATATTGGAAAAGAGGAGTTTCTCTTAGACTACACATGGATGTATCAACAACCAATAACATGGCTACAAACACCGCAAGAAAACGGTTGTTCTGGTGGTGGTGAGGAATACGATGATGGATTTGGAAACAATAACAGCGTTGTAACTAATTTCGAGAGTTTTCTCTGGAATTACTAGGTTATTTGTTTTCTACCTTTTCTTTCTCTTTCTTTGTTCTTGTCTTTTCTTGTGAATGCTTTTGTTTCTGTTTTGTTTTGTTTTATCTTCTTTGATTGATTGATATAATTATAGTTATATCTATAATTATTAATGTCATCTTCTTCTTCACTTTTTAGATTCTAGTCCCTTTGTGATTTTTTTTATAAGGGGCCATGGCATGATTTTCTGTTTCTTTTATATTTTATTATTCTCCTCTGTTTTTATTTTTGTGTATTAATTTAATATCCTTCTTTTGTCTGGTTGCAAATGTTTATTGAAATGTGGAAAAAATAATAAATTTTCCCTGTTTTAGCACTAACTATTGAGTCAATGTGTCCTACTGCATAAATTATTAATAAAAAATTTCCCTATTGAGGTTTCAGTTTTTATGTAAGATTATGAAATCAGAAGCTATGTGATTGTTTTTAGTATCTGTATATTTTGCTGGAAAGAACGATATTAACTGAAAAGAAAGAAAACAAAATTGTGGTGTACTTATAATACATTAGGGGAATATTGATGATGTTGTTGGCCATTTTTCTATTTGAGGCTAATGTTTAGTAGTACAATTAATTTGAATTAAAAAGAGGTTATGATTAATTGGAAAGATAAATAAATTGCCAAGTTTTTTAGACAAGTTGATTACACTAACTGACAATTTAGTATGCTTCATTGTTTGATATGAGAAACCGTTTGAAATATTCAATCAACCGTAAATGTCAAAAACTGCACTTATCATAAACTTTTTTTTTCTAATGATTGAAATTTCAAGGTTAATAAATAAAATGTGAGTTTAAATAAACATTTTTCTGATTGATATTTTTACATAGCTATTATTAATTGAGTTGACTTAAGGAAACTTCTTCATAAATATTACATTTTTTTTTAAAGTGTTTAGATGTTATTAAATTAATAAATTTTATTTATAATTTTATTTTTTAACATTGTAAACCAGAACAATAATTAATGAGACTTTTATTATATCAGCGCCTTTGTTTTTAAAAAATATTCTACAACTACCCCATATTAAGAATTAATGTCTCAAATACTTATTATATATATATATATATATATATATATATATATATATATATATATATATATATATATATATATATATATATATATATATATATATATATATATATATATATATATATATATATATATATATATATATATATATATATATATATATATATATATTAAAATAAATAAATATAAAATAAAAAATCATAAATATAAAAAAAAAATCATATATAAATTTATTTAGCTTTTCTAATTTTCCTAATCTTTCATTTTTCTGGTTAAATATATATATATATATATATATATATATATATATATATATATATTAACTTAATATTTTGTCTATTGAGCTGGTTATAAGTAGGGATGACAATTTGACCCATTTTTAATGGGCACCCGCAAATTTATCGAGAACTGGTAGGATAAAAACTCGCAAAAATAAATACGGATATGAATTTGGATAATTACCCACAAAAATAAGCGGGTATGGATGCGGGTATGGGCACCTTAGTACCCATCCTGTCCCATACCCGCACAATATATATTTATGTATTTTCATTTATATTTATATTTTTTAATTTATATTTATATATTTTAATTTATACTATTATACAAAATCGTATGTCTATCAATTATAAAACGTATATCAATGTTAAACCATTATGTATTAAATATAAGTGTTCATTCATTTCAACAATAAATTGTTTGAAATTTTTTTTAATGCTTTTAAGAACTTAAGATTATATGATATTTTATAACTTATGTATTTATTTTTAAAAGAATTGTGGGTCACGAGTACGGGTATGAATATTTACATACCCATAAGGCACGACCACAGGTTAACTTTGGCATCCATGCGGGTATGGGCTCGGGCACATCATTTTTTTTAAAAATCGTGGGTATAGGGATGAGTACTATAGTACTCTGCCCAAACTCTACTCATTGTCATCCCTAGTTATAAGAATTTCTTCCATTAGGTTGGTTGTAAAGGCTTCTATAAATAACATAGTATAAAAAGTCATTGTGATCATTATTCATTTGACTCATTTCATTTACATAATCATGCAAGCCTTGATATTGAGTTTTATAATAAGGATAATGAGTTGAGCATAATTTAGGGATTTAGGCGTGTCCGCGATGCGGTTTGGATGATTTTGATGCTAAAAGTCATCTGAAATGCAAGAGAAAAACATATGCGGTTTGGTTTGGTTCGGTTGACATTTAAAAATAAAACCAAACCAAACCAAACCTCATCAATGCGGTTGGTTCGGTTCGGTTGATTCGATTTTTTATAAATAAATAAAAATTATTGAGCCATACATGCACATATAAATGACAAAATGACTTTGTATTTAGTCATTCATATACTACCAAATAACAATAAAACTCATCATATTTGAACAATAACTTTTGATTTCATATATAAAAAACATATTAGAAAAAAGTCGAATAATAAATATAAAATAATAAAACAATATCAAATTTTTTTTAAATAAAATAAAAAATAAAGGAGATAAGAGATCAGTGAAGATGCAAAAGAAAGAATAGAAGATAGGAGAGATTAGAGAAGAAGATGTGCGATAAAAATGAAATTGGAAGAACGAACAATTGAATAAAAAAGAGAAGGTGAAAAGAAAAGAATAAAAAAGAGTAGAGATTAGAGAAGAAGGGACGAGATGTATGTAATGAAGAAGGTGCAATATTGCTAAAAGAGATTTGAGAAGGCTGAAACTGAAACCCGAAGTGCGAGGAAGAGAAAATCGTTCGTAATCGTAAGACTAAGGCATAATAGTTTTAGGTTTGAGTTAGATGTGAGTTAAGTTAAACTTAGGTTAAAACATAATGCAGTTTAATTCGGATTGGTTTGGTTTGAAAAATACAAACCGCAAACTGAACCAAACAATAAGGTTTTGTTAAAGGATGACTCAAACACATCCGAACTAAATACGGTTTTTTTGCAGTTTTCAGTTTGATTTGGTTCAGTTTGCGATTTTCTAATGAGTTGGTTCGATTTTGAACACCCCTAAAGCATATACATAAATTTATATTTGAATTTCAAACAAATGATTTCATGCTTAAACAGTTGGTTTTGAAAGTTGGCGGATCGTATTTGAAAGGTAACTTAGTAAATAATTTCTTCGGGGTTGATTATGTACATGAGCATTATATTCTACGTACAAGATGTTAGAATTTCATGTCACAAATGTAATATTAAAGGTGTTAGTGTCATTATTTTAATTAGTCAAGACTTAAAGGGGTCTAACTAATATAATATTAAATTTGTGGCTAAAAGCATGTCATGAAATGTCAGGTTATTGTGTAGATATCGTAAGTCATATCTAACTTGATAATGGATCAAATTAGAATATTAAGAACTTAAAAATAACCCTAGGGTTATTTAAATGGGTTATGATTTCAATTAACATCTATATTTTCAACATTTATATTTTCAATCAACCCCAACATTCTCCACCTTGATTGAAAATAATACATAATTTTTCATTGTCTTCACCAACAATCATACTTCACCATAAAGAATATCAACATGTATATTTTCAACCAACCCTAACATATTTAGAGATTTTGGATGATGCAAACCAATATATTTGGGGTTTAATTTATTTAGCTACATTTTACAAATTATGTGTAGATCTACTCACAAATGAGTTAACGGTGTGAGAGGATGGGCTAACATGCTCCAAACTTGGAGGTTTTCATGTTTGCCAATATTAGCTCCAATCACTCAAACACTCGCAACACATTCATAAATGTAATGACAAATTAAAATTTTATATACACTTCATTACATGCCTACTTCCTTTTAACATATTAATCATATACATTTAATTTTCTTTTATGTGCTAGATGATGTTGCAAAAGGAAGGACTATCAAAATAAACCACGCCATTATCTCTTTGATATACCATACATTACATGGAGCTCAGTATGTAATAAATTTTATCTTATTTTGTCTCAATTATTTTTAATTTACTTTTCATACACTAATAAGCAATATATATTGTTTAACAATTTAATTGAAGATATTATCTAATTTATATGCCAAATGACTATAATATAGCCTGATTTGGAGTAAATTGAATCCTTTGATTTGTTTATTTATTGCTAAAATACATCAGACATACATGATAAAACATCAATTTGGCTACCAACAAAGGATATTCCAATCACTGAGATGCTTTAAAAAAAACATGATAAAATGATTATTGTCAAGTTGTGGAAACTGCATAATACCATGTTGAACAAAGATGCACAAGATGTTAGATGCCCAATTTCACTTATTTGAGCTATCAAATGTGGGCATCTTTCACTCCTTTTTGTCAAGAAAGTATTCAAAATCGCTCTTACTTTGGTTGGTTTGCAACATATTGTGAAAGTATCTTGGTGCCTTTAATTTGTGTTATTGTGCAGGAATTAGGCATGAAAGAGTGGAAAATTAAGACATAAGAAAGATGGCAAAGAAACCAAGGCAGCAAGCAAACAATAGCAAGTTCTCTAGGCGAACTTGCCAGCGAAGCTCCCTCCAAAACTTCACAAAGTTCTCTAGGCGAACTATGTAGTGAAGGCCAGAAATCAAGGCATTATTCACAACAGAATGGAAAAGGCCCTAAACTCGCTAGGCGAGGGAGGCAGTGAAGACCTCGTTAGGCGAAGAAGCAGCGAGCAGACAACGAACACTCCCAGACTTGGGACAGTGGAGAAAGGGACATAAACTTGCTAGGCGAGGGAGGCAGCGAAGACCTTGCTAGGCGAATAAGCAGCGAGTAACCAACAAACACTCTCAGACTTAAAACAGCAAGGAAAGGGCCATAAACTCGCTAGGCAAAGTTCACAGCGAAGGCTTCGCTAAGTGAAGGATTACTCGCCTAGCGAACATATGGAAAATTGTTTGGGGAGAGTCCACAGGGCACAGGCACTTCAGGTGACACTTT